CGGTTTGCAAAAAGCGCATTTCCACTTGCATTCATTTCCCATTTGTAAGATGCAACTTCTATAAAATCGTAAAAATCCGGCCACAAATATGAAAGATAGCGTTGCACATGGGCAATCCATTTTTGTCGTGCTACTTCAATGTCAGTTTATGAGAAGAATTTCATTTCAATGCTTTTCTAAATAAGGAAGTTGGAACTGCGCATGCGCAAACCTAAATTTTGAAACTAATGTTAGATTTTCCTTTGTTCCAAGCGCCTAAATATCAAATTTCACTTAAATGCTTCCATAGATAAAAAAGTTAGTACTGCGCATGCGCAAAATAAAATTTTGAAACTGGTGCTAGATTTTCCTTTATTCCAAGTGCCTATGTATCAAATTACATTTAAATTCTTCCATAAATAAAACAGTTGGCACTGCGCATGCGCAAAACCAAATTTTGAAATTGGCGTTTGATTTTCCTTTATCCCAAGTGCCTATGTATCAAAATTCGTTTAAATTCTTCCATAAATAAAAAAGTTGGCACTGCGCATGCGCAAAACCAAATTTTGAAATTGGCGTTTGATTTTCCTTTATTCCAAGTGCCTATGTATCAAATTTCAATCAAATGCTTTTATAAGTAAAAAATTTTGCAATTCGGTTTATAAATGGTCGAGATGCGAAAAGGGCACTGTGAATTTTGAATCGATTCGATTCAACTTTTGGCATTGCCTATTATATGGCTAAAGCTATGCCCATATTGAATTTCATGCAATTCAGTTCATAACTAACGGAGATGTAAAAGTGATCGAACATTTCTAAACAAAGTTATCGTTCACACGGACAGATAGATGGACAGACAGACAAAGGAACAGACGGACAGACCAGCATGCAGACGACAGATAGCAATGCAAAATTATAAACGATCTCTAGGATCGTTAATAAACGGCAAAAGTGTAAAATTATGGAACATGTAAAAACGGTTTTTTGTTTTTTTTACAATAACTTTTTTTGTAAGCGGTACAGAAAAAATTCCTTCCTTGGTACAAGAAATGCGCATTTCCACAAAAATAAAAAAAAATGCGCTATTGTGGCCACTTTGTCCGTCCGTCCGTCCGTCCGGCTGTCCGTCCGTCCGTCCGGCTGTCCGTCCGTCCGTCCGTCCGCTCGTTTTGCGACGCTACTAGTTCTTTATCTTAAGAGCTATTGTTCTACTTTTTTCGCTTTTTGGTTCGTTATGGTGTCGAGTCTTGTACCAAGGAAGGAATTTTTTCTGTACCGCTTACAAAAAAAGTTATTGTAAAAAAAAACAAAAAACCGTTTTTCACATGTTCCATAATTTTACACTTTTGCCGTTTATTAACGATCCTAGAGATCGTTTATAATTTTGCATTGCTATCTGTCGTCTGCCTGTTGGTCTGTCCGTCTGTTTCTTTGTCTGTCTGTCCATCTATCTGTCCGTGTGAACGATAACTTTGTTTAGAAATGTTCGATCGCTTTTACATCTCCGTTAGTTATGAACTGAATTGCATTAAATTCAATATGGGCATAGCTTTAGCCATATAATACGCAATGCCAAAAGTTGAATCGAATCGATTCAAAATTCACATTGCCCTTTTCGCATCTCGACCATTTATAAACCGAATTGCAAACTTTTTTACTTATAAAAGTATTTGAATGAAATTTGATACATAGGCACTTGGGATAAAAGAAAATCAAACGCCAATTTCAAAATTTGGTTTTGCGCATGCGCAGTGCCAACTTTTTTATTTATGGAAGAATTTAAACGAAATTTGATACATAGGCACGTGGAATAAAGGAAAATCAAACGCCAGTTTCAAAATTTGGTTTTGCGCATGCGCAGTGCCAACTGTTTTATTTATGGAAGAATTTAAATGAAATGTGATACATAGGCACTTGGAATAAAGGAAAATCTAACATTAGTTTCAAAATTTAGGTTTGCGCATGCGCAGTTCCAACTTTCTTATTTAGAAAAGCATTGAAATGAAATTCTTCTCATAAATTGAAATTGAAGTAGCACGTCAACAATGGATTGCCCATGTGCAACGCTATCTTTCATATTTGTGGCCGGATTTTTACGATTTTAATAGAAGTTGCATCTTACAATAATGGGAAATGAATGCAAGTGGAAATGCGCTTTATGTAAATCGTTTACGATTACTTTTTAACTTATAGCACCTTGTCCCGAACTCTCCCAAACTGTTCTCACTTTCGTATTTACAATTTCGACCTTGATTTCTAAAGTTTTGTTTAAATTAAATTGGACGTCGATTATCTTAAAAATGTAGCAGCTGTCAATTTTATCTACCTACTACTTCGAACATAGGAGAATTATATTGCATACAAAATCCTATGTTCGCATTAACAAAAAATTCACTGTATATGATCTCCATCAACCGTACTTTCAAATAATCAATCAGGTTAAAGTGCATACTAATTACAATCCCGCGCGATTTATTAATGCTGATGAGTGATGACATTTTGAATTTCTCGCAGAACAAAAAATTAAGGGTTGTTAACTATAATAGACACATATTTCAAAATATCTCAAAAACTATAACAGCGCAAAAGTTAGTTTCAGCGGCGCATTTGAGCGCATAACTAAAGGGAACGTATAGCACTAAGAATGTTTAAAAAAGTGCACTTTTTTAAAACCATCAATTTAGCCCCACCCACCTTCTGTCTTTCGTTATGGCCATACGGTAGTGGCGCAAAATGTTAATCCAGTGGCGCAGTTTAGCGCATAACTACAGGCACAATTTGGAATCATCAGATATACCAAATTGCATAATGGGGGAGGGGGGCTGCGTGAACTTGAACCCCCCCAAATGTTTTTCAAAATATCTCAAAAACTATAACAGCGCAAAAGTTAGTTTCAGCGGCGCATTTGAGCGCATAAGTAAAGGGAACATATAGCACTAAGAATCTTTAAGAAAGTGCACTTTTTTAAAACCATCAATTTAGCCCCACCCACCTTCTGTCTTTCGTTATGGTCATACGGTAGTGGCGCAAAATGTTAATCCAGTGGCGCAGTTTAGCGCATAACTACAGGCACAATTTGGAATCATAAGATGTACCAAATTGCATAATGGGGGGGGCTGCGTGAACTTGAACCCCCCCAAATGTTTTTCAAAATATCTCAAAAACTTTAACAGCGCAAAAATTACTCTCAGCGGCGCGTTTGAGCGCATATCGAGCGCATTATTACAGGGTAATATCATAACGAAATGTTTAATGGGGGGGGGGGGGGGGGGGGGGGGGGGCAACTTAACCGACCCCCGGAAAAGTAACAGGTACGCCAGGAAGGTAGTCTGGTCTGCCTTTGTCATGGAAACTAAAATTTACCAGCATAAAGTGGGCATGAAAATTAAGGTTTCGTGACGATTTTTGGTCAATAAAACATAGATATATAAATACCTAGATACAGCCATCCTTAACAAACGTACCTCGGTTTTTAAAAAACATATCAAAGAAATTTGTACATCTCTCCATTGCCTTCTAACCAAGAAGAAACATGTTCTATCTCTTTTTATTGCATTAACTTCTATGTCGTACGCGAATCGGACGCTTAAAACAAACTTAGCGCGTCCCATAAGTCATGTGACAGTTGACACATTTCACGATCGCGCGAAATCAAATCTAACTAAATGGCCGGTTTATTCACTAAATATTATGTAATTATTGCGTTATCAATGGAATACGAATAACATTAGTGCTTGCCATAATGATAGACGCGTTCATAATTGTTATTCCTGAAATAGTTTTATTACATAGAGCTACGCCATTCAAATTTGGGACTATGTTTACCTTGTTTGGCATGATGTGCTGCAGTGAATTCATTGCTGGCTTACAGAATACCAAAAAAACCGTAAGTAAAGTTTATGTTCAACATTTTAATTTTAATTGCATGGTTTTAGGCGTATTGGTAACGGAGATTAAGTTGCGACAGGAAGTGAATTCGTTTCCAATTATCATTTTGGCCTATATGATGTTGATGCAGTGCGTTTGTATCATGATCACAAAGAAGGATCCGTGCAATATTCTTAGGAAAACGAGATTTATAGACTGTGTGTGCGTGCAATATCAAATTTTGGTCGCTACGCGTCTTGCCTCCCTTTCGGCATATGTTGTACAATCGGTGGGGTTTCTTTTTGAAATTATAGTGCTAATTGTAGTAAGTAAGCTACACGCCGTGTACATTTATTTAAAATAAATACAACATCTTAACAATGATATCCAATTGGTGATAATAATCATTTAGTCAACATTCATTACGTTTGTAAAAGTTCACAATCCGAATCATCATCAGATGAAATTGACAAATCCGAATCATCACTGTCAACTTCAGAAACATCAACCAATATAACTTCTCTTTTAAATTAATCACTTTCCACATGTTCACACACTTTCTTCCAGTTGTCAGCTGTAATTTTTTCAAATTCTTCATTTGCCAGCTTTCTAAATAACATCTTCCATTTTAAATGTAACATTTCTTTGCTGCTATGCAATTTAAATAAATAAAAAGGCGGTTTATTTATGTTGTAAAGTCTCAAATTTGATAATTTTCTGTGTGATTTGTGCTAACAATTTGATTGACAGTTATAATAAATAATGCGAATCTTGCCTTCCATGCTCAGGGTACCTCTATAAAGGATAGCGCTATACGTAATTAATGTGCCGAAAGTGATGGTAATAGATGGTACGTCCTTTTGAACTATGTTGGGGTATGGCTGTATCTATGTATTTACGGTCTATTCAGGGTACGGTCGGAAATTTACTTCAAGTGCTACATTTACTAAAAATACACAAATCTGCGGTTATAAATTTACTGCTATATTACTGAAAATAACATCCTACTTGAATGCACGCATGCGCGAGATTTACTGCAGTTTACTCACTTTACTTCTGAAAAATACCTGGTGTAAACGAAGTAAATGTAAACACGTTTTGAGGTTATATTTTTGTGAAAGTAAAATAGTGTGAATTTTTCTGAAATATGGACATGGAGACGCGAGAATTAGTTTTAGTAGACGTCGAACACAAAAAACAATATAAACTAATGCTGAGTGTTGAAGATCATGCAAGGGCAACACAAGGTATGTTAGTATGTAAACCAAAAAAGATGCATAATTACCTACAATTGTTATGTATTCATATCAATTATATATACAATAATTATGTTACTTTGACTTACTAATATTTCTCTAACTTGTAGACATGGCATTTGCATCTACTTTATTGCAACATGCTGTAATTAATGGAATGCACAATAATGCCACGGAAGATCACACGGATTCAGCTGCTGATGTCGAGGCTGCTGTGCACGATAATCCCACTGAAGGTTACACAGAACCAACTTCGCCACAAAGCGGATACGATACTGATGGTAAGTACACTGATAAGTGAAATATTTATAACAAGATTTGTACTTAGATTTATGCCGTTGGTCCTTTGAAGGAGTAACTTTGTTGTTAAACCTGTATGGAGAAAAACAGGATGTATTAGTGAAGGGGAAGGTGAAACAAAAAGCTTTTTGGAATAGTATTGCCGAATTAATGGCTAAACATGGTTATACGTACACTGCCAGTCAGTGTAAGACAAAACTTGCAACTTTGAAAAGGCAATATAAAAAGGTCAAGGACCATAATAAAGTATCGGGAAATGATAGAAAAGATTGGCCGTATTTGGAAGTAAGTATTTTGTATGGATACACATAAATATTTATGGTATTATAATTAGGCAATGGATGAAATATTTTCTTCTCAACCATGGTTAGTACCAGTTTCTTTAGCCAGTAGTAGTAGTGCGAGCGTAAATAGTGCTGCCAGTAGTAGCTCTACCAGTACATCAATTACACCTTCTACCTCAGCAACATGTGCAATAGCGAACAAAAATTCACCAAAAACGGAGGGGAAGAAAAAACAATCACCAAAAAGTATGAACTCATAAATTTAAATGTTTTATTTTTTATTTCGCTTTGTAGAGAATAGAAAATTGGTGGACATTTTAAACAAGTTGCGAGAAGATAAAGAAAAGCATCATAAAGAAAGAATGGAGAAAAGTACAGAAGCATTAAGTTTATTACGCACACTTGTTGATAACATTTCGAAAAAGTAATGATACTAATACCTAATTATTTTTATTAATGTATAATAAATTTATTTTCATTCGTATCCTCGTTATTTGTAAAAATCATGCACCAATTTGCATAGGTAATTCAGCAGCGATTACATCCCGTTTTCTTATGGCTACATCTCTTCCTCCACCATCCGGTTCTCGTGTTGCCAGTATTTCCACAGCACTTGCATTATTTGAAATAGCTACAGCTAATGGTTGAAATTGGTCTTGTTTTAAAAGGCAGATATTGTGAAGAATGCAACACGTTATGATGTACTTTGGTATAAGATCTTCTCGTGTCATTGGTAGAGTATCTAACAATCTCCGCATTCTGCCTTTGAGAAGTCCAAATGCCCTTTCGATTGCCATTCTTGTAGATGAGTGACACATGTTAAAATTTTTTTGTATGTCTGTTAAATGACCATTGTCTTTAAATGGTACCATAAGATGCTTATGCAACTTATATGCTGCGTCTCCCAAAATGTGTACATCATCTGGAAATTGTGTGTCATTTCTAAAAAATTCTGGTAAATCCGAGTTTTGGAATACTCGCTGATCATGGACAGCTCCCGGATATCCAGTGAAACAATGAATAAACATTCCATTTTCGTTACAGACGGCCTACAATAAAAGTAGTAAGCTAACAGCTAACTACACAAGCATGTACCTGCAGAAAATAACTACCTACCTGTAATTGCATTGAATGATACCCTTTTCGATTCACATAAGCTTCTGCATTATTCTTAGGAGCAGTTATGCTAATATGGGTGCCATCAATTGCACCTATAACATTTGGAAAGCCTTTTACAGCTCGAAATACTCTTATACTTGTTTCCATTTCATCTGCTATTGGCCATTTTATAAATGTATGTACATGATCATACAACGCTTTTACTACTCTTCTTACGGAGATAACGGCAGTTGCTTTTCCGACATTAAAACGATCCGATACAGATCTATTAAAAGGTCATTGAAAATAGGTAGATAAAAGTAGAAACTGTAGACCCACCTATAGGAATCAGGTGTTCCAAGAATCCACAACGTAAGCAGCAATTGTGTTTCTGGGGATACACTTGGTCGTCCAGGTTTGACCACGTTTTCACTAATTTTTGGTCCAATTAAAGACAAAATAAAGTCAAATGTTTTTCGTTGCATTCTACAAATATTACAATTAGTGACTTAATACTTTAATTGACCTTATTCTTATTGTATAGTAGGCTAACAACGACCCACTATACAAACACAGACAGCCGTGCTGTACCAGAGGCTTACTTGGGATTTGAAACCCCAGAACCCTTGTAACACACAGTTTGAACTAACTATATAACTCCATACCTACCTAAAATGTGATTGGAATTGATCATCTGAATATAAATGAACCACATTTTCCACATAATGTTCAATTCTCGTTAAACGAGTGGAATCACTCACATTCATCAAATGTGTTAATACTAGAAATTCATCATCATCAGAACTTGAATCGTCCAAAATACTCAAAATATTATTAACAATTAAAGGAACTATACTTTCAGAATCCATTGTGGCAATAAGGCAATATACACAATAGAGAATAATTGAGGTTAAGTAGGTATCAGTTGTCAAAAGCATATAATTGCAAAACAAGCGGTCGAAAATTATTACAGCATCTTCAGTATTTTGAGTAAAATTTAATAAATAACCGCTTTACTGCGATTGCATTACTTTAATTACTGATACTTTTTGAAGTAAATTTCCGACCGTACCCTCAGTATATCTTCCGTTGCACGTCATTCCCTGAAGAAAACGACGTACCAACGTAAACTTACTTTCGTTTATTAGGCAACACATTAAGCATGTAGTTTATTTTAGCCGCAACAATTGGTAGCATTTCGCTATGTTGTCGCATTTAAATTTGTAAATTTGACAGGTTGCTTTTGGTTTACTTTTCGTTTGATTTGATTTTGATTATTTTCTACGTCTTTCGCTGTGCATTGGTTTGAAGAGAAATTACTGAAGAATTTAGATAACCCGTTAGTAATTGTGTTCGATAACGGGAAAACAAACAACATTAAAGTGTGGTTAGGTGATCATAATGTGCAGTTCTCCGAAAATGATTTTACAGCCGAACTGTTGAAAAGGTTGCACAGTAAGTACGTTCGCAAATTATTTGATGTTATATAAATCTTGTTGATACTTTTAGGAATAAATCAGCTAAAATGTACCGCATAAGGCATTGACCACTTAGCCGAGCAATACGGTTACTTCGTTTTACGATTACCACCCTATCATCGTGTTTTTAATCCTATCGAACATATTTGGGGCATAGCGAAAAATTATTACAATCGACACATTGGTAGAGATGGACGAAGCATTGAAAATTGCATAAACATGTGACAAGAATCACTACAATCGATAACTTCCGAAACGTGGCGCAATTCAGTTAAGGATACGGAAACTGTAATACACGAGTGGTACGAAAGAGAAAAGCAATTAGATCTTGAAAACGTTGCTACTATTATTATAAACTTTGAACACGAAAGCAGTTCCGATGATTCCGATTAATTTGAATATCATCCATCACATCACATAACCTGTAAAATTTTATATTTAGTACCTACTTTCTCTGTAAAAGAGATGCTACATTTGTACAGTTCATAAGTTATTAAAGTATATTGTATGTATATTGTGGTTCCAATTAACGAAATGAATAATAAAAATTATTTTTATTTTATTTAAGGTGTGGATTGTTCACACAAAGAATGCACTCTCTTGTTGACAAGTGACATAACCTAAATCGCTCAAAACTAGATTTGGCATTATTGCATAGTAATTACGTCATAGAATATGATGACGTGCAACGGAAGTTATACGGAATAAAGTGTATATATCTATGCAATAAAAGGGTTTTGACGTGTTTTTTACCGTTCATGCCAAAGTTGCAAGGTATCTTCCTCTGTGGTTAGAAACGCAACGACAGGTTTCTCTGAAATGACGACCATATTTTAGAATACACAGACCCTCTTCAAATTTCTTTTAGCTCAATCATACTCAGATTGGCTTACTCTAAAAGAAAAATCTTTGTTTACAATCTGCTACACAGAAAATAGCTGCTGTCCATCCTTTGGAATGTACCGCACTTTTCACAAAAATTACTTAACGTTTGTGGCACCTTTTCCGACTGCATCCATGTCACGATTGTTGCCTACTCTGTTTGATTTTGGTTCTTTAAATCTGGTATATTCAATAAACAAATTTGTATTGTACTTTATACTGTGCGTTTATCTTACATTGGAACACTTTCGATTTGTGCGAGTCAAAACTGAACCACCCTTTAGTTATTTTTAGGCATTGGTTCATCAGTATACTGGACTGCAAGTAAATCGCCGGTTTGTCTTGCACTGTTGTGTCCTTTGTATAAATTTATAATTTCATCTTTTTAGACAACATTTTTGAAATTTATCTGCAGGCCGGTAGATTTGAAGATGACAGTTTTAAATTGTACCTCTACCTTTATATGATCTAAGCCTCTACCCATTTGAACGACCTCACTACTAACTAACCTCACTCTTTTTGTTTTAAACAAAAAATGAACTTTTTCTACAGACTAGCGGTCTGGGCCCATAACCTGTTGAGATGAATAATGTAAACTAACTCTATGGTTGTATATAAAAGTAATAAATAGGATGATGTGCATATGCATTTATGCCTAGAGGAGAGAATATAACGGTGGTGGGAAATAGCACTTCCTTTGCGCTGGTCAGTTATGTCGACTTGACTTATCATAAAACAGAAGAGACGATGTCAGTTTTGTTTTATTACACCCATTGAGTTAGAAAACTAATGGAGGGAATCAAATGCTTGGCCAGACGTAGACCACGGGAACCAAAAGTGGCCTCTAACTGTGATTAAAGTACCACACCACTTCCGTTATCATTAGCGTCTCACTTCAGTGGCGTAGAGATATAATTTTCTTTCCACTAATAGGAATAATAACAAAAAAACGTATAGAAGGAGTAAAATACATGCTCGTGGTAAAGTAAACAAAATAGACAAGGATGGGAAAGTGTGCAGATTTAATATAATCATTGATTACAAATCTAAATATACATCGATGTGTTCCAGTAGTATAATTAAGGCCAGTTTACTATAGCCACTACAACTTGACAACTTCCATTAAATTCACAGTGTTGATCAATAGCTACAATTGACTGGTTGGTCTCAGGTTCATTACAACGGCAGAGAGATTCAATAATAATTTATTGTTTATTGGTCTCAAAATGTATCCGCACTCGTAAAAAAACTTACACATGATATCAATATTATATAAACTCACACGTTTAGCTGTAAAAACAAGTTTTGATAGTACCTACTGCATATTTGATGAACATTTTCCGGTGCAACCTGAGATGTCTGCTTTCAAATTTCAAACAAGAAGTTCCGTTACCGTATATTGAGACACCGTTTAAGCTACCGTTGCCAGATACCGAGCCACAATTCAATAGCGTTCCCATGAAAAAACAATCGGTTTATTATTCAACAATGTATTCAGTCTTCAATGTCAGCAATTATAACAATGGTAGTCTGTATAGGGAGGAATACAGTGACTTTATAAGGACAGTGGCGACAACTTATCATAATCCGCCATATTGGAGCTAAAAAATTGATTGTAAGATCAATATACCTTGTCATGTCAAATTGTGAGCGTAGAATAATAAATGTCAGTTTCATTTAAGTAAAGATTCTTGTTCAAAACGAACGGCGCAGAAATGATCGTTTAAAGCTTTGCAGAACAACCTATGGGAAAACAAATGCCTCCCAAATTCAAAAAGGTATGGGTATATGGAAAACAGTATAATAAGTATGAAATATGGTGCAATATCCAAAATGTACATATAAATAATCATTAAATTGTGTTTGACATTTCAGTGTCTTCTGTCACTTCTTGTCCCCTGTCGCGTGTTGCTCCTTCCGGACTTAAAAGTATTTCTTTAGTCTCTTAAATGGAAGACAAAACACGTTGATCTAGTCCACGGAGTACAAGCGATCAATATTCCATGTGCTCCAGCAAACATGAAACCAATTCAAACGTATTTACGATCACAAATGAATTTGCTGCTAAATTTCGGATAAGCTGCTTCTCTAACCAGTTTTCTATCTAAACTCATTAGGTATTTAGGGCTCCTGAAAAAAAATTTACATCAATTACCAGTCGTAAGGTTAGGCACAGTTTTACATCTAAAAACACTAAGCGAATTACATACCTTATAATATCGTAATAAATCCAAACTATATGCGTCTTTAAAAATCGAGTTTATATAAAACTGGAGACGGAAAACGTAAAATAAAGCAAATACAAGAAGCAAAGTGTAAACTAGTAACATGAAGCCGTGACAATTACAGGTGACACTGTCAAAACAGTATAATTAATAATTATAGCACGGAGTGCACCGCGTCGTTTTGAAGGTTTTCTATTGGCCAGTTTGGAATTTAGCTCCAATATGGCGACCGGAACCAACGACCAATCAAAAACGAGATACCCTGTTGTCGCCACTGTCTCTATAAAGTCACTGTAGGGAGGAAATGGTGGATAGATTTAGTTTTTGCCGAGTTAGCTTTTTGAGTTCCCACAGGTTCATTTTTTTCTTTGAGTTCACTTTGCTTTGGGTGATCAAGGGTGCTGCTCATTGTAACAGAAAGGTAATGTACTTAGTTGTAATTGATTTATATTGTAGATTATGTTGCCTTCAGCTAGTTGTAATGCAGGGTAAAGTGATTCTTAAATTTGGTGTAATTTGCTTTCATGTAAAAGTGGTTCCTGTTTGATTTGTTGAAGATTGGCCAGTTATCAATTTTCATGTGTTTGTTTTGAACCCATTTAGATTGATTAGCGACTTCAATTCTTTGTGTACGAATCAGCCTTTTTTGAGTGTAATTAACCGTTTCGCCCTTGCAGAGGTATATGCCGGAGTGATAAAGATACTTAGCGGCATGTATTTCGAACGACAACTTTAGTCTAAGGTTACCGTATCCAGGATCTTAGATACCTGCTAGATTGGAGGAGGTCTGGCTAATTAATGATGTTTATTTTATGCACTTTATGTAAGAGACTTCGGAATGTATCTTTCACACATGAGAAAGGATTGAAGGTGCTTTTTAAATCTACTTGTGATGGCCATCCTTTAACTTATCAAGTTTGTATTGCATTAACGTCAGATTTCAATCTGTACAATTCAAGAATTACTTACTCGGATTATTATTCTTTGTATAACTATTGTAGCTGTGTTGTAAAATGTGTTTAGCGTTATCCAATGTTACCTCTCATTCTCCAGATTTTCCCTCTAGATTTCACCTCTGTGAACAGTGAGTCGGAATTTTCTTTAGCACGGGGTTCTTTTGTCCGACGAGTTCTAGGGGAACCTGGCACTTTTTGGCTTTAAATGTATTCTGTCTAAATTTGTAGGATGTCTTTCGGCCTTTTGATTCATTTTTTACACTTTTGATCAGTTCTTTAATAAACTTTATTTGTGTTTCAATTTCAATTAAGCGTATTATTTGCGTTCCGCCTTTCCGATAATTAGCATGGGTACGAGTGAGTGCAACCTGGCCTTCCACAACGTAGGTGTTCCGGACATTGTCAAGTGTGAGGTTTGTGTTACTACGCAGGTGTTCCGAGTTCGTGTTTTTCCCGCTTTCGTTAGCGCGGGAGCTGTCGACTTGGGTACATCACAAACCTTTGGTCGAAATCACAGTCAATGAAGCGTTGTGAGCACAAGAGCAAAT